GAAAGTTTCTGGAAGGGGTATGTTAAATTACCATCAGATTTTCCTCCTCTCCCTTCAAGATGTTTGAGCTGGCAATAAAGTGGTTCGTATTGTGCAGTTTCCTGGTGTTGATGGTACATAATAATACATGATGTTGATGGTAAATTTTGAGGATGTATCTACAGATGCTGAATCCTTATGCATTTGGGAAGTGATCTTGGATCTAGATATGTTTTTCTACCATTACCCAAGGCAATCCATGGGATACAGTGAAGTGTAGACTTCAGAGGCATGGAAAGCTGTTGTAGAAGATATATGATTGAAACTCCTGTGACCCTAACAGCTATGAAAAAATTATTCAGTAGTTAATAACATTGCAAAGAGGAAAGAGTATATGTTTTTCTTTGATGCTACTTAGGTGCCATAGTGTCCAATGCTTCTTACAGTAAAATTAAAAAATATTTTTGGAAGTTATAGAAAGGTTTTGCCTCTGGGAACTGCTAAGAAACACAAGGGAAATTGTCTGTTCATGTGAATATGTACATGTGTTTTATGTGCCTGCACTTATGTGGTTAGCTTGATTAGTTTTTTTTTTTTTTTTTTTTTTTTTTTTTTTTTTTTTTTTTTATAAATTTGACACTAGCTAGAGTTATCTGGGAAGCGGAACCTCAGTTGAGAAAATGGCTCCATTAGATCATTTGTAGGCAAGTCCATACGTAGTAGCTAGAGTTTTCCTGCTTGATCCACAGTCAGGACAAATCTCTGTCACATGCCAGTCCCACAGCTGCTCAGACCCAACCAAGTAAACACAGAGACTTATATTGCTTACAAACTGTATGGGTGTGGCAGGCTTCTTGCTAACTGTTCTTATATCTTAAATTAATCCATTTCTATAAATCTACTCCTTGCCACATGGCTTGTGGCTTACTGGCATCTTCACATGATGCTTGTCATGGCGGCGGCTGGCAGTGTCTCCTCCCACCTTCCTGTTCTCTCAATTCTACTCTATGTTAGTCCCGCCTATACTTCCTGCCTGGCCACTGGCCAATCAGTGTTTTATTTATTGACCAATCAGACCAACAGATTTGACATACAGACCATCCCACAGCATCCATAGGACATTTTCTTGACTAGTGGCTGATGTCGGAGGGCCCAGCCTGCTGTGAGCAGTGCCACTTCTGGGCACATGGTCCTGGATTGTGTAAGAAAGCAGAATGACAAAGTCAGGAGGACCAACATGCTTCCCTGCTTCAGTTCCTGCCTTCAGGTTCCCACTTTGAGTTCCTGTCTTGATTTCTTTTGCCAACTCTGTAAGCTGTAACCTCCTCTCTAGGTTGCTTTTGGTCATGGTGGGTTTTTTTGTTTTTTGTTTTTTTTCACAGCAATGGAAAACTAGTTAAGACAGAAATTGGTACAAGGAGTGGGATATTGCTGTGAAAAGCATGGTGGTGTTGGTTTGGGGAGGATTATGGAGGGAGTTTTAAATTTTCCCTGTAAAAAAAAAAAATTGATGGGCTATTTTGTAGGTGTGTGAAAATTTTAAGAATGCTGAGAGTGCTGCTGAATTTCCATTTTGCTTTGATCTGATGGTAACTGTGCCCTGGCTCTTCTTTGTTGGAGTAAGTAAGGAAGCATATATATTTAAGATGTTGTAAGAGCACACAGTTGAAAGACTCTGGGCTTTAGAGAAACTTTGGAGGTTCAGAGTGACTGGATATTTTAAAGAGATTGAACTGTTGAAATGTTTGAGTTTTATTTCAAGACAGACTTTTTAGGTTTAGTATGTTCTATATTGTGATATTAATATTAGCATGATATTTTGGGGATAAACAAAAAATAAATTTTACAGTTTAATAGTAACATATGGGCAGGTCAATTCACAAGAGGTCAATTGTTCTGGGTATTTTTTTTTTTTGTAAACTTGACACTAGCTAGAAATATCTGGGAAGAGAAACCTCAATTGAGAAAATGCTTCCATCAGATTGGCCTATAGATGAGTATGTAGACCACTTTCTTAATGATTAATATGGAGGGCTTAGCTCACTGTGGTCAGTACCACCACTGGGCAGATGGTTCTGTGTGGTATGAAAAAGCAAGCTGGGGAGGACAGTAAGCAGCATTCCTACATGGCCTCTGCTTTAGTTCCTGCCTCCTGGTTCCTACCTTGATTTCCTGCCCTCCCTCAATGATAGAGTATAAACTGCAAACAAAATAAACCATTTCTGCCTTGAGTTACTTTTGATCATGGGATTTTATCACTGCAAAAGAAATCTAAGACTGATTATATATATATATATATATATATATATATATATATATATATATATATATATATATAAATAAAATGTGTAATCATATATATCATATATATATATAATGTTAGTGTGTATAAAGAGATGCATTTTCTCTTTGCATGAAAGCAATTCTAAACAACATTCTAATGGAATGATTCATTCTCAAAACTCACCTGAAGACTTTTTCCCATACATAATACATCCAAAAATAAATTATCTGGGCGTTCATATAAAATATGTTTAAGTATGTTTTTAGCAGTGCTACCACAGGATGCAAGGTCTTCCTTATTTGTGTTTAAATTTCAAACCCACAGCTGTTCTTCAAGCATTTATCAATGTGGTGCTTTTTAATCTCTGTGTTAGGGTGAACAGCACAAAAAGGCTCCCAAGAGAAGAAATATGGGAAGCCCTTTGTCAGCAAGCATCCAACTTATATCTGAGAACAACTCCCCTTTATAGAGATCATGTCTAAAATGTGAGGAAACCTTGCTGTTTATTATGCCGAGTCATGACAATTCCCGTTAGACTACAGTCAGTTACTTTCAAGTGTGATCTACATGAGAATGACCCAAGAATGTGTTAGATAAACAAATTCCAAAACTTCACCTCAGGCCCCTGAAAGCCCTGGCAAGGGGTAAACCATCTGGGTTCAATGAGGCTTCCAGATGATGTCAGAGGTGCATTGGTGCCTGGTACAACACATCATTGTGCTAACGGAGACACTGGCACAAGAGAAAGCACCTGCTTTATAAGCAAGGACAGTGAAGAGAACAGGAATCACAGGGGAGAAGAAACTAGAAGGTGCATGCTAAGTTTTGTTTTTTATGCAATGAGGAAGCCACTATCCAGATTTGCTAGTCATTTCTGCAACCCCTTGTTGTTTTGAGTAGAGGCACCCAATGTCTCCATTTTACAGTAATGTGTTAAAAAGTACTCAATTTTAAATCCTCCAAGAAAACCTCAATTATACTCCCATTTCAAAGACGTACTTAGAGAAAATAGGTGAATTTCAGAATATAAGACATATGCATAACTTTGTCTTTCTTTGTAGTTTCTTATTCAGGAATTCAACAATCAGATATTCTGTGGTGTTGCTTATAAAATAAAGAGTTGAGCTGCGTGTGATGCCTCAGTTAGTCTGAAGCAGGAAATGACAGGTCCAAGGCCAACCTGGACTACTCTAAATAAAAACAAAAACTAAAATACCACAACAATAACAACAAAAAACAAACATTAGCAAATAATCACACCTAAGGAACTAACTGAATAATAAATACCACCACTTGCCACATTGTTTCTTTTGTCTGAAATAATTGGATTTCTGTTAGGACAGGAACAATTCATTCTGAATGATGACAAGATGCTTTCCCTGTGTCAGTGTTTGCAGCCTTCAGTCAGGTTCAGCATCCAACACCTAATTTCCACAAAAAGCACTCAAATTCTTGATTATGAAGTTAGCGTATTTCACTGGAACAAGAGGAAGCCAGTGGGAACTCACCATTTTTTCCCTTTGTTTTTTTTTCCTAATTGACTTTGGTGTCACTTTGGGAATACCTGTTCCTGTGATTTAATTGTGTCATGTGGGTAAAATGGAGCTGATGAGAAGACATCAGAGTAAGTCCTGAGATACAAATGAAACTGATATGAATTGAAATAGTCTCTACCAATGCATGCCACTATTTATACAATAATAGTGGGCCCAATGTTTGTATATATTTCAAATTAAAATGTAAATATTTCTTGAGATCGTCCAATATGGTGATATTTTATTTGTACTGAAATGTGATTTTATTTATATGTTAATAAATAAAGTTGCCCGGGGGTCAGAGCTGATAGCAAGCCATAGCAGAAGTCTGGCAGTAGTAGCACATGCCCTTAATCCTGATCACATGACAGGCAGATCTCTGTGTGTTCAAGGATACCACCAGCATGGAGACACACACCTTTAATCTCAATACCAACCATAGAAGACCTGGAGGTCTGTATAGATGGGCAGTGACGAGGAGGTCATGTGGCTGGGTTTACAACCAATGAGAAGGCAGAACAGAAAGTCTATAAAAAGACAGATACACAGGAAGTAGCGCTCTTGCTGAGAGGAAGGACAGCAGCAGCAACAAAGGGTAAGCTCAGCTCTCAGCTACTGCTCTGACCTCTTGGGCTTTTAACTCTGCAATTGGCTCTGTGTTTCTTATTTAATAAGACTGTTCGTCTACAGTCCAACCAGTATCCCCTTATAATAATACACTTAAGCTATGGGGATGGGCATGTTCTGAAGAACATAGATAGTTCAATGGACATTGAAGAAAGGAAAGGGATTGCTGTGGAGAGTTTAGACACTCTGAAACAAACCATGTATTTTCATTGGGAAAGCTGTCATTTTGTAGTTCATTAAGGTGTTCTGGCAGGCCATGGAGGAGAAGCTATGTGGTTGAGCCCATGCTAAAAAAGTGGTTTTTGAAGCACACTGCCTGAACCATCTTTACCTTGTTTGTCAGGGGGAAAGAAAACATTCTGAAGGTCATCCTTCTCTCCCAGTGTGATTATTTTCCATTTCACTAAAATCAGTTAATTTGGAAGAGAGTGCAACTCTTTGAGAATGGGTTGGTTGCAGCCTCATCAGGCAATCAGACAGGAGATCAACACAGCTGTGGGACCCACAGCAGCTGGGAAGGTTCTCATTGCAAGCTTGTCAGGCACAGGGAAAGAAATCGTGGCTCTCACATGGGCTGATACCAGAAAGATTTATTAATGTATTCCTTCAAGAGATCTCTAAAATCAATGTCAGACACTCAATGATAAATCAGTTGAATATTAATGTGGATAGGAGTTTGGCTGCTCTTAAAGCTCTTCCTTTGATGCAAAATATGATTTTCTTTGAAAATGGAGCACATTAAATCTACTCTTATTCTATGAAACAACATATATACCAGAGTGCCTGTAACAATTTTGTGTATAATATATTTATTTGCATACAGAAATATGTATTTCTATTATACATTTTATTTTATTTATAGAATATATATATATGAAGCATACAGCATATTATGGGAGATATATTAAATATACATAGAGTTCATGCTACAGCATGCACCCTTTTAAGAGAAGCCTATTGGAGAGGAATGGCATTGTATATACATGCTAAGAATACATGTTGCACAAGTTTATCCAGCTGTGGGTGCCTTCCTAATCTAATTGCAACACCAGTGTTATGGTGTTGACAGAGATCTTATCAAATTGAGGAGGGGAGCAACTGTCAATGAACTAAATAGGAAAAAAAAAGTTGGCTGCATTGCTGAATAACTGTTGGTATCATTTTTAAATCCAATCTCCCCTCATGCCATCTCTTCAGGACCAAAAAGCAGTGAGTTGTCAACAGTAGAGGATGTGGGATTCTAGACTCCATATATCAAGCCAGATGGTTTATCTTATTCTTTGTAGATTACTATATTGGTGACCTTGTCCCAACACTTGGGATCTGTCATTAAGGGGATGATGAATTGGTCAAGAGGCAATCAGTTCTTTTCTCAAGACATAAGCTGGCTCTTTTCATACTCTTAATCTTCTCTTTTTAAAATACCACTCTGGGATATTTACATTATTGCTACAAGGGAAAAAGAAATAAAGGCTTGACAGTTACTGACATTTCCAGTGAAAGCGAGGAGATGAGTCATATTGTTTCTTTAAAAGGCTCTTCATTCGTGTGGAAAAAAATGTTTCCAGTAGAAACTGATCAGACTAGAAGCAGCTAGGTTCATGGACAATACTGCAGCCTCTCAACTAGTATCTGTGATGCCATAACCAGACATTAAGATGCCACAGTGCTGTAGGTGTGTGAGAGCTGCTGTTTTTTAAATGTATGTGTGGTCTGTGCTTTTATCTGTGAATTTCAAATCCCACAGTTAGTGAGGGAGTGTTTCTGAGAGCTGATGAGTGAGCTTTGCTTTACTCTAACAAGGAAGCAATTTGCATTAATCCTTTTTTTTTTTTTTAATGAGAGAGGATTAAGAAAGCAAGTTCCAGAAGCCCCTTAATAGAAGCGGTCCTTCTCAGTCCTGGTACCATCACCATTTTGAAACAAATCATTTTCTTTGGAAGTGGAGGTGCGAGGAGCCCTGTCTTGTGCATTGTGACCTGTGCAGCAGCATTCAAAGCCCCTTCTCATTTCATACAAATGCCTATTCCCAGTTGTGACAATCAAAATGGCTCTACATATCACTAAGTGTCCACAGGGTAAAAATTGCCTCTGCTTGAGAGTCATAAAAACAAGCAAAGCCAGGAACAATGGAGACAGATGTTTGAAGACAGTCTCACTCCAATAATGTCAGTGTCCTCCTCTTATCCTCTGACTCTGATAGAGAAGGTTTCCATGGTACCTTTGTTCTTTTCTTGAATTTGACAGTTTCTCTTTTTAATAAAGTTGTGGAAGCTGTGGCAAATTATCAGGCATAGAATGAATCAAGGGAAGAATACAATAGAGACACAGAGCAAGACAAAGATTGGCTCGTGGTGGGTTGGGCTTAAAGCAAACAGAGACAAACACTGAATTTTGGCCTCCAAAGTGGTGGTTCCAATGGAGAAACCATGTTTGCATCACAATAGTATATAACATTTAAAAATCAAAGTTGGCCAGTGGATTATTTTTCTTACAGGAAACCAAGAAGCCCATTGAAATGAAGTCGTCTCCACTCAACTAGTTGAAGAAACAACATAAAAGTAAATGTGGTCTTAAAACTCAAAATTTACATTTTAGTAATTCTGAACTAAAGGAACTACATCAACTAATTATAGACTAAATTAATCTGAACCAATGCTATATTTTACACATAGGAGATTTTTGAGGTAAAAACAACTGAAATTACTCAAAAAAATTATGTTCATAAAGGATAAATACATACATTGTTAGCCATTTGCTTCTTATTAACTTACAATATTTTTGTTGCTGTTGTCATATCCCCTGTCTCCCACTTGCTGAGATGCTACTGATGTGCAGTCAGACAGAATAACTCTAATAACTTTTAGGACTTCATACTTATCAATTTGCCATGTAACACTCATGGGATGGGCAGAGAAGGAATCAAAGCCCGTCAGTGAAAACCTGAATTTTGAAAAGGAATTTATAACTTTAATTTCTATCCATTAGGCTCACACTTAGAAAATCTGATTGGAAGACCATAACATATAATGGGAGAAAACATAGGAAGACAAAGATAACTAGTTAAATATGAATTGATATAATTCTGTATTTATTTAGCTTATCAAGGGTGGATTTCCTACACAGACATTACCAGTTTAATGTTATCCTTTAGTAATCATTTCAGTGACAGCTATTTGTGATCAGATAATAGAGTGAAAAAAATGGCATGACAAGAACCACATAAACTCTCCCTTCAGGTTCTGTGGGCATAGTTTGCTTCTGTTTGATTATCCACTATATTTATGCCACAAAGATTAATATAACTCTCCTGATTAGAGAATTTTGAAGTGATATAATCTTGCAGAGATTTGAAGACAATTTTAAGAACATGTAATATCAGTAAATGTTTTTTGCATGGCCCTTTCCCCACCCCTGTGTCTTAGCATGGCTATAGAAAACCTCATTTGAGTATAATTTGAATATCATCTGCTAACAGACATGGAATATAAGGTCTTTTCCTCTTGGGGTTGACACAGCAAACTAATCTTGTTTAAGATTCTGAATGAGCAAAGCAGCATTGTATTCCTGCTGACAAAGTCAGGAGTTCATATTGTACACTTTAACAAGGTCAGGCACATGGGGCAGGCAGGTTTGCGTTCAAACTGACGGCCCTTCTGACCTTCTTTCTTCTCATCTTAAACTTGATCTGTCCTCGGCGAGCTTTCCCCAACTAGACTGACCATTTTCTAAAGTGATTAAAATTTAATTTTAAATGACTTTGGTTTCCCAAGCATATTTATGTCTTAGGCAGACTAATCTGTTAAAATAGGTTAGTTTAGAAGAAAATCAGATGGGTGAAAATATTCCACACAAAGGAGCTCAAATGAAGGAAACCCTTACAGGGTCGTACACTCTCAAACAATGCAAGGACACAGTGGGAAGAGGCAGAGTGCCCATTTTTATGGTTGACTCTGGCCAGATTTAGGAGAAGTCCTATGGGTATTATCCGTACACAATATAAAACCAGAAACTACAAAAATAGTAGAAAAAATAGTATGACCTAGTTGGGTTTTCATTGTTTTGCTTTCTTGCTTTTCATGTTGGGAAAGGAGAAGAGAGAAGAAATAAGCAGTGATTATATCCTTAAATCCTTCAAAGAGCACGGCATAGCCTAGAATACGCTCAATGCTCTGCTGACCATCTCTGCATCCTATTTGATTTTCTTTCTTCATATCACTCATTGCGTGTCTGCTTCTTTATGTTTAGGTCTCTGTGTTAGCATGTAGCGTGACATTTCTTCCTCATCTAGACACATGGGGACAACAGGAAGAAACAACAAACAAGGTTACTCTTGTGCAGAGACATGAAATTGCAGATTCAGAAGCCCTTCTTCAAGAGAGTAGGAGACAGCACAGATTGTTTCTTAGAGCCACAATTTCTTCGTGTCTCTTTCGTTGTCTCCTAAACCGACAGCGTTTATAAGGTATAAGTTCACTTATTTATTTTTCAAACTGAAGCATGGGCACGGTGAGAGTGTCACTTTAGACTGCCTTAACTGCACATGTGTAGCAAGACTGTAAAGTGCAATGGCAGATCAGTATAAATAGATGGCTTTCTTGTCTCTGTTCTTCTTCCCAAGCCCCACTTGGCCACCTTTCTTCTTTTGTAAAGGTCTTTTACCTTGTAGCGCCTATGTTCTTGTAGTGACACATAAGGAGGTGTTTAAAAGTCTTTTTGAAGGTGGCATTACAAAGTGCATAGCAGGCAGGATTGATGGTGCTATTGATGTAACAGAGCCAGTAGCCGATTGTCCACACTGTATTGGGGATGCAGGGTGCACAGAAGGTATTGATGAGCACCATGACATTGTATGGTGCCCAGGTGATGATGAAAGCCAACAGAATAGCCAAGATTGTCCTGGTCACCTTCTTTTCCCGGGATGGAGGAGGCTTCTTTTTGGCAGGCTGCTTGGTCATTTTCACAATCTTGCGTGCTACAATGTTCTGCTTTTCATCCCCATTTTGACCTGAGGACCCAACTAGTTCTACAGTTGTACTTGTTGGGGTGCATGAGTCACCTTTTTGTGTCTTGGTGACAATTTTGATGCATGTTTGCTTAGAGTTGTCATCTTTGGAATGGCCCAGAGAAGTGGAAACTGTGTTTTCATCCTGGGTGATTTCATCATCTCTCATATTGGAGGCGACAGCACTGACTGAGGTGGAGTCATTTGAGCTCTCCTTCTCCTCCCCCTGAACACAGTTTTCAGTCACACCATCCCGGGGAGCCTTGCCATTCTGGATTTTGTTGTGCTCTAGGCCACCGTCACCACCTGGCATGTTGTTGTTGTTCGGCTTTACAATTCTTCCTTGCACCAGACTTGGAGATACCGGATCTTGGTTGGCCACAGGTTCCTTCTTTTCCTTCTTTATCCTGCTCTTACTTGCCCGGGATATATGCCAATACAGCACGGTCATGATGATGACAGGCAGATAGAAGGCTGCGATGGCAGTGCCGAAGGTGACAGCGGCATTGGAAAAGAACTGAATGTAGCACTCCCCGTCCTCCACAGTTCTCACTCCTACGATGAACTGCCAGAAGAGAATGGCTGGAGCCCAGAGGATGAAGGAAAGGACCCAGGCAGCTGCAATCATCATGCCTGCCATTTTTGTGGTCCGCTTAACTGGGTAGGTCAGAGGTTTTGTGACACAGAAGTATCTATCAAAGCTGATGATGAGCAAATTCATAACAGAAGCATTGCTGACCACATAGTCCAAGGCTAGCCAAAGGTCACATACTACAGGTCCCAAAGGCCAGTAACCAATCACAGTGTAGAGGGTATACAAGTTCATGGAGAAAACACCTATGATGAGGTCAGCACAGGCAAGGCTGAACAAGAAGTAATTGTTGACTGTCTGAAGGTGACGGTTGACTTTAATAGAAACCATGACCAGGATGTTCCCAATGATGGTCACCAGACTGAGGGATCCAGCCACAAGAACAATAAATACCACTTCAAATGTCTTGTAAGGACTGGTAATAGCCAAGCCATTGTTAGATGAGTTTGTTGAGTTATTCATTTTGTGTTCAGTAGCCAAGTGTCCAAATAAACATTTAAACCTGCAGGGAAATAGAATGAAGTTAACAACTATAATATAAATATTACTTCAAAACACATCAGGTTCCTTCCTTTTGAAAAACTTCCCAGTCATTCTTCTGTATCCTGAATATTTACTGTATCCTGTCTGACCCACCCAAGAGGTAAAGGCTTTAGATGGAAGACTGAAAATTTTCTTAATAGTTGGCAATGTTTATGATCCAATAATGCCATGAGTGACTCCATATACAGATATGAGTATCTATCTATGTATCTGCCTGTTTGTTTATATCAATAAATCCTTATGAGTTGAGTTGACTAAACCAAATTCATAGCTAAAACTTTCCAAAATAATTAGAAACTTCTGGCTTTGAAATAAATTTAATAAACCACTGAGAGACGAAATATTGGGACAGAACATAAAACTGTATGTGTAACTTCTATAGTCATTAACACCTTTCCTTCTGGCAGCTTGTGCCCTTTCCTTGTTAATATTGATGTGGCAGTGATAAAAAAGACAGTATACTAGCCAGTGCACCCAACCGAAGTGAATTTGTTTTTCTCAATTCTGTTTTACAATTGTAATCATCTTCACTTAGCCCCAGAATTTCAAAAATTCCATGACTTGTAAAAGAATCATCACTTACTGTTGATATTATTATACCATTTTCCAAATGTCTTTGCTTCAAACCACTGTTAAATCTACTGTCTAACTATTCTTTGACAATCTTCTATCTTCCTGAAGAGGAAGCCATGGCCCAGGAGGCTGCAGAAAGTGATACAGTAGCACACATCAAATTAGTGAGAGGCATGCTACATTTCTTTCCTTTCTTCTTGTTTACAAGTATTATGAATTGCTTTTAAATAAAAATCATAAAATAAAATTCAGCCTTAGGTCTCTCAGATGTGTGTTTTCTCAGTAAGTATTAAGGGCTACAGAAAGTCTTTGCAATTGATTGTTTCATCTCCCATGTTAAAGGAAGAAAGTTGAGATAATAAGAGTTTAAGGAACTTCTTTATCACTAGAAAAGTGAGTAAACAATTTACAACTATTGTCAGCACCTTACTTCATCCTTTTTTTTTATAACTTCCCTCTGCCTACCCTCTCTTTTGAAGAATTGCACTTAATGAGAAATTACTAAGTAACAACATAACGATGTTGTAGATGCAGAGGTTGCTAGCGGTTTCTACTTAAGACAGATTGTTTAGTGGACCTGGGATCTTTATCCATGTTGAACATTGGAAACTCTATGTGATGTGAACCACAGTCACTATTGAAACTCAGGAATTTTTAGAGATACCCTACAAACTTTGATACTGATGGTGTAAAAATGGAAGACACTCACTTAGAAGCAAGTAAAAGTATTTGAAGCAGGGACATCCTTTCTTCCAACAGGATATACACACTATATAGGGTTGTTTCTCTTCTACGACAGATAGCAGCTGGCTTCCACCAACCTCTCCCTTACTACTTCTGTTTCCCAAATTTCTGATGTCATTAAAGCAATAAGATTACATCACAAATGAAGATGTTCACAGTGTGGATGAACTTCAAAGCATATGGTAAATGCGTAATGTGGTATTCTATAACCTAGTTTCTAACAAGGTTCTGGATGTATTTTGAACGCATGAGAAAAAAAACTTTTCTTCACCTAGTTCCTTTGTATACATAGCAGAGAGAAACATTCATGGTTCTATGTTTTCTTCACAAAGTTTAGGTACTCATGTCATTTTTAAATTATTAGCCGCGTATTTCTGAGTTTGCTGTTAAATTCAATGAACTTTATTTCCATTTCTTCTCCAACTCTTTTTTCTTTCAGCATTGTGGCGAGGATTAAAGTGATGTTATGTCCCTGAATGATAGTCTATAAAGGCTAAGCATTAGACATGTGCTTTTAAATATTTAAACCTGCCAAGCAGATGTAAATTAATCACCTCTCTTAACCTTTCATAGCAGCTAACAGAAAAGGATGAGTCTCTGTGTGTTTGAAATGAGTATGAATGGGAAGGCATGGGGTAGAATGGAGGGGTAGAAGTAATAAATTCTCATTATTGATGATAGCAAACTGTCAACAACAATGTTATCAAGAAAATCATCAAAAGGACAATTAGCATATTGTGAGCATAATTACTCTTCAGAACAAGTCCTGCGGTGGCTGGTGTTTTTATGACACATATTGATCTAAGGATCAAAGAGTAAAATTACTTGAGATTCAAACTAGTGGTACTCTATGCAGACTCTTACAAATTAATAATCACTGCTTATCTAAAAATACTCCCATTAGCCGAAACCATTTGCACACACCAATGACCTGCAAGATTAAGCCTGGTTTCCAGATATAAAGTTGGGTCCTTGATTTATACAAAAATGTGAGAATCATGTACAGACCCAGTATTGCATCTTTGAGGGGAGATGCTGATATTAAAGCTTAGAATTAGTAAATGGGACTTGACACATAAAAAATGTGGCATTTGCAGTTCTAAACATTTTTTTAAATTAAAAAATCATTACAAAATTATATCACCAAAGTGTTGGATGGGGAGGCAGAGGTAGCTCAGTGCTAGAGTGCCTGCTTAGCATCTGAAAGACCCAGGTTTCCATCACAAAGGAACACACACACACACACACACACACACACACACACACACACACACACCACAGCCAGTGTATCCCCAAATGAATTGAAAAATGCCCTTTCACAGTTCACTCACATCCACTCAGGGACACTATAGTTCTAAATATTGACACCATTTTTTAACTGTTATGGAGAAAATCAATTATAGCTATAAAAAGTAAATTCTGATATTTACTAGACAGGAGTGGAGAATTAAATAATACAAATGAGATATATGCCTGGGTGGGGCAGCACACCCATTGTAGCAGCCCTTTCAAAACTGAATCCAAGGTGGAATGATCTGCATGAATTGATCAATCAATGTGTGAGCAACCTAATTATTGCATGGTTTCATTTGCTAATTTATAAAATTGTTATGAGCCTAAAAAGTATTAGTCTCATTTTTCTATTTGTAAAATTGACATTGGTCAGAGGTATGGAGAGTTAGTGCCCAATTTACATTCAGGTCTACCTGACACCTGTTATCTCCTTATTTTTACTATGTCTCGCCTTGACCTGGAAACTGAACACTCCAAGTGCTTTACAAGAATGGAAACAAATCTAATGGAAAACAAGTCAGGAAAATCTAATCCATGGACTGCTGATGGAGGACGAATCTGTTTCCTGAATTCCCTGATAGGTTATCCAGTCCCAAGTGTTCATTTTAAACACATGTACAGACAAGCAAGAGAGAGAGAGAGAGAGAGAGAGAGAGAGAGAGAGAGAGAGAGAGAGAGAGAAATAATTGCCGAACAAGTCATGGATTTGAGAGCACGGTAGGAAAGCACAATGTCACAAACATCCTCATGAGGGATAAATACAACAGTATGCTCTGAGATGCTTAAAAGTTTGTCCTGACAATATCATATTATGCAGGGCTTTCAGCACAAAATACTATTGTAGCAAATATGAAATAAGGTTGAATTGATGGGGCAACACAGAAAGCATCAGAATATCATGGAGGCAAGGCTCCACCCAGTGAGTGGTTAACAGGTGATCAGTTTCCTGTCTTAAGAATGAGCTGCAGTATTCTTGTACTGTGTTATCATTGATTAAAATGCAGGAAGCTTATTCATTTACATTGCTTTGTAGTATTTATCAACAAATATGCTGTATGTTAATCTGATCAATGATATTATAAATGTGACTTTTACTTCCTGATGTGGGACAGATGATCATTGTGATGGAATTCATAATCTGTTTTAGGTCTTTGCAACCCTCATTTAATCCCACTAATTAATAAATGGCATGGATTTTGACATTAAGCATGCTTTTTTGCCATCAAAACAGTTAAAGACCAACTAAGGGAGAGAGAGAGAGAGAGAGAGAGAGAGAGAGAGAGAGAGAGAGAGAGAGAGAGAGAGAGAGAGAGAGAGAAAACTAAGGAGTCATTTATTCCTACAAGTGTTAGGGAGCAAAGCCCCTGTTCTCTGAGAAATGTAGTATTTCACACCGTTTGATATTGATGCAATCGAGGGTGACATGACTTGTTTTTGTCTTATGTGTTGTTAACTTTTACTGCCTGATGAGTCATGGAGCAGCAGTCTGTCCTTCAGAACCGGCTGTGTTAATATTCCACCTCCTGGGTGCTGGGACGGGGTTGCACAGTCAGGGAGTGGATTTCCATTTATTTCCCGTTCAATCTGATTTTTCCTTTGAGCCAGGACATTGTGAGTCAGTGTGGGTACCCCTCCTTCCTCACCAACTCCAGCATCTCACTGGAGCAGCGGCAGTTGCAGTGGGGCTGGCCTTGCTTCTCTTTGTTCCAGAATGCCTTCTGAAGCACTGGGATGAGCAGGTCCGCAGGTAGCGTCAGAGGCTGTGGGGGTGGAAGTGAAGAACGAATGGGAGCCCAAAGAAAATAGGGCATGTTCTCGTCCACGAGGAATTTCTAATCTAGGAGTGACACAGACTGCTGATGAGACTCACAGGCTACCTACGAAGCTGGAGAGATGTGGGGCCAGTTGCCAAGGCTTAAGGCTCTGGGAGGAAGGTTGGCCAGAACAGAGCGAAATAAATAGAGAAGGCTCCTTGGTACATCTTCCCTAAATACCCTTGGCTCATCTTCTTTCCCTTGGTTCCCTTCCTCTCATCATGATGCCTGACTCTCTTTCCTGGCAGTTCTCCAGACTAGGTACCATCACTTTTTTCTCAGGGAAGTGCGATGCAGTGGTTTGGGGCCACTGGTCTAGGACTTTGAACTTAAGAACCTGAAAGTTCAGAGACATAAAAGAAAACTCACACACACTTATTTACCCACACTAAATTGACATGTTATTTAAAATGAAATGTCTCAAAAAATACTCTCAAAGAAATGTGTGAGTTTTTCCCAGTTAGGAAACTGTAGCACAAAATGGCAGACTTTGCTAGATGCGCATTATATAAAAATTTGGGTTAGAAAAGCAAAG